ACAAAAATCTTTACTCTAATCCTTAACATGCACTCATCTATATTGATAATATTCTTTTATTTTCTCTAGATTTGACAACTTATACATTGTTACTTGAAAAGTTTCAAATGATTGTACAATGGTATGAAATAATGTTTTCAGAAAAGAAGATAATTATTGGTGCTACAAAGATAGATTTTCTTGGCATGCATTTAAAAATGATCAGTACAGTGCTTAACCCCACATTATTAAAACACTTAAAGATTTCCCTAATGAAAATCTTTCAAAGAGACAAGTGCAACAATTTCTTAGCATAGTCAATTACATGGGTGAATTTCTTTCAAATCTTGCTCAGATTATCCATCCTTTTAGATAGATGTTAAAAAAAACCTTCATAGTAGTCTCAAAAGCAAACACAATCAGTAAAGCTGCTCAAGCTATATTCAAAGTTTATTCCAACTTTAAAGATTCCCTTATAAAAAAAAATTTTACAATCAAACGTAAATGATAAATTTTGGTCCACGATTCTCTTTGAAGAAAAATATGGAAAAAGATAAATATATAGATACAAAAATGGTAGATTCAAAGATTTCAAAATCACTATCACTCTACACTATAAGAGATTTTAGTAGTGAAATATGAAATCTAAATATTTGAATTTCACTTCGTTGGGTATCACTTTTTCATGGAACTAGGCATGTCAACTTTTAATCATATGCTTAATTTCAAGAAAAAAATAGATGCTAATGCATAGTTACTCATATTGTCTCAATAGTTTTTGAAGTATTCATTCACCACAAGGCATATAAGAGGAAAGGATAATATTCTCCTAGATATGTTATCCAGACCTCTTCAAAATTCTTTAAAGATCATTCTTGTCATAGTAATGATAAATCCCTTATCCTCCTCTCAATATTCATCCTTCAATCATGTGTTTCTAATGGAAAACCTTTCTTCAGATGTTTAAAGAATAATTTCAAAAAATGACTCTTAATAATCGTTTAAGAGAGCTCATATTTAAATTCCAAACCATTCTCATTGGAACCAAAGCTGACCATGAAATTAGATCCATTGGCCTACATCCAAAATACCCATTTTTTCATTTATTTCAAATCTTACACATAATTTGACTATTCAAAGAAACCTTTGTTCTCATATGGTATCTTTGTCAAATCCACACTATTGTTATAGAATTTGGTGTTTGAGAGCTTACTTTGAAAACTCTTCAATTAGTTAAAGATCGCACATACCTTGGTGAAGCACAACTTAAAACTTTCTTTTAGTGGTTTAATCCTTTACAAGATTGGTTTTAATAAGCCAAAAAACTCCCTCAACATTACCATGTCATTTTCATGTTTCATAGATCTTGTCAGGTACATGATGATAGTACAATAAACTTTTAACCACATTTAGATGTCTATGTGTGCAACCCGTATTCTCTGTACAAAGAATCATTCTTATACTCTGATAAGTATAGACTTTCCTCAAAAGACTTTGCAGAATCAACCATATCTCTCATATTCCTAAATAACTACCTCATTTCAGAAAGAAACTATGATGGTTGTACCTTTCAGAATACATATAAGAATTACACTATCACCTTGATAAATGGATACCAACACATCTCTTTGATAATTAGTGGAGTGACTTATCTCAAAAACTTATAAATTTTGACCTCATCAATTTTGCAAAACTGTAAAAACTCTCAGCAAATCCTTACTGGCAGAACTTAAAAGATATTTCATGGATAAAAGAAAGATTTGAATGCAAGACATATGAACAACTATTCTAGAATTGTAACAAAGACCTAAAAAACTTTAAAGAAGAATTATTTAAATGGGTTAATAATTGCTTATCCATACAGTACCATGACCGTTTTGGAGAATGATGATGCTCCAATCAGTATCTCTTTTGTTCCAGTCAAACTATGTATAGTTATGTGTATGTTACTTTCTTTTAAAGACTCACGATAACTCCAAGAGAAGTTTGGTGGTGACACGTTAACGCAAGTTTTGCTTTTTTCAACATCGACTTTGGTGTCAACTTTATGTATTGTCATGCTTTACTTTTGTTAAGTCATGCATTAAACCCTTTTCAAGTCAAGTATACTTTATTAAAGATGCATTGATAAAGAAAAGATTTCTAACCTTTATTAAAGTTACTTTATGTTAAGTCATGCACCCATTATAATTATGTCAAGTCCTATTTACTTTACTTTTCCTTCTTATATAAGTTGTAAACTACTTTTTTGAGAAGTATTCTATCCTTAAGTCTTCTTGTATGTTTTTCTAAACTTCTTCCCTAATCTTTAGTTTTCAATTCAATGTTTTTCTTCTATATCATGGTTTGCAGTGATACAAGTTAGTATGCTTTACAATTGTCACATTATCATGGATCCTTTACATCATAATTCTTGTTAAATTGTAAACATACCATTGGCTTGGCAAATTTCAACCTTCTAATGAGCTTTTATGAGCTTTTGCTTAATTATTAAAACATATATTACTTTTAAAAATCACCTAGCTAGCAAGTATTTTAGCCATATCCAAAGAAGAAATAGCGTGTAGAAGATTGAAAAGATAGTTTAGAATATTTATAAGTTGTTCTAGATATATACAACTCAATTATTGTGTAGGTCAATCCTCGACCTAGCATCATGTCCTATACATTTATAAAGTTTATATACTAAGATTTCAAATTCCATTTCATGGTTAATAAGAATTCTAATTCTTTTGTTATTTTCCTCCTCAATGTCCTCATTAATTTCCTAAATGTATTGAATATTCTCTTAATTTTCTACATGATCTCTCAAGTTAATTAGCACTTTCTCCCTCCAATAATCATATATGTAAATATATATTTGTATTCTCATCATTTTTTTATTTAAACTAAAAAAAAAAGTAAAAAATAAGACAATATTAAAAGATGTAGTTTATGCCAATAATTGTTTGAATTCATATATATAAATATATATTTGTATTCTCACCATTTTTTAATTTAAACTCAAAAAATAAAAGTAAGAAATAAGACAATATTGAAAGATATAGTTTGTGCCAATAATTGTTTGAATTGTAAATAAAATGTTTAATTCTTAATTTTAATAAACATGATTCAATTTTTAGCAATTTTATATAGTATAAAAAAGAGAGAAACATATAGGTGGTTGTCACAATGATTTTTCGTTTGGGAATTCAATCGCTAGACGTGAAAATTAAGGAGTTGCCACCAATCTTTTTTGTTGAGGTACGATTGGCCACCAATCTTATTTTTGGTCTATAAATTTAAGTTTGGATTTATGAGTACGGTTACGTGTGAGAAAGGTTATAGCACCCCTACAACGCCTGTCCAA